GCCACTCCCCGAGCTGCTGCCCACACAGGAACCCATAGCCCTCAGGTGAACGCCCTTCGGAGTCATTTTACACTGCTGCCTGGGACTGGGGAATGCCGGAGAGACCTGCCAGAACCATGTGCCAGGCCGCCAGCTTCCTGGTCCCCTGCAGGATCAGGCTGTACCTTGTCTCTCCCGGTAGTTTTTCTCTGGCCTGTGATGTTGGTGGCTATGGGTTGCTGCGCACACCTGGGTCCACCCAAGGGGCTGGGCTATGGTCTCCGTGTCCCCATTCCCAGCCAGCAAGCCACGAAAGCGGGGGTGCTCACCCTTTCCACCACTCAGGCTCCCACAGGTTTTGGTCCCAGAAATATCTGAACGATGGAGAAGGAGAGGGAATGCAGAGAGAATGCTTGGTGGTAAAAATAACCTGTGCTTTTAATTCTGGCTGGGCCGCTGCTGCTGTGGCTCAACCCCCTTGAGGGTCTCGGTGTTTTTAAAGAGTTAGAACAGAATAGGGCTGGTTTTACTCATGATTTTAAGTCTTCTTCTCTAGCTGTACCCCTTTCCTGGATGTACTCCTCTTCTGGCTGTACCCCTCTTTCTGGTGTACCCCTTTCCTGGCTGGCTCAGCAAAATGTAATATTGGGGTTCAGGGTGCCCTCGGCTCTGCTGAGAAGATGTTTCTCCAGGTTCTTGGTCTCTTGCCCTCTCAAGAATGAAAGAGGGGACCACGACACAGTGCACAGTAAATGCTGGACTCAGAAGTGTTTGTAGAAAGTGATTTATTTAGAGAGAGAAAAAGGAGGAGAGAGAAATAAACAGCTAACTCTCACACTGAGTGAGAGAATCCAGAAAGATAGAATCCAGGAGAGGAAAGCAGCTTCCACCCTGAGTGGAAAGAAATAGAGATGGAGTTTACAAGGTGAAGACAGGCTTCCACGAGAGAGTGTGGAAGGGGACTCCAGAGGGGAAATCCAGGAGAGAGAAAGATGGCTTCCACGAAGGGAGTGTTCATAGAAGGGGATCCAAACATGGAGTCTGAAGGGGTGTGGAAGAAGGGGACTTTTAGCCTGGGAGGAACCCCCACCTTCTCTAAGACCCCAGGCCAATGAAAGGAGTTCCTTAGAACTTCCGCTGGAGTGATTGACTGTTTCTTCCCGTGCCCATGAAGTTTAAACATAAACCCTTAACTCTCCGGGATGAAGACTGATGGAAGGGGGAGAAAATGTGGTGCTGGAAAGTTCTTGCCCTTAAAACTACACCCCCTTGTGGACCTGGAAAGGGAACACATTCCCTCAAAGGGATGTGTCCTTTTCCGCTGGTCCCCACACCACAGCTGACGGAATCACCCGAGGCTTATGAAGCATGTGGATTCCTAGAACCCACCCAGCATGCCTCCTGAAGCCTGCTGTGTCACACGCCACCGGCTTGGTTCCGGGTGTGCTCTCAGAACAGTGGGCTGGACTTCCTGGCTGAAGGGGTCCCCCCCTTCAAGCCCCTACTATTCTCATGGCCACCCCAGCCACTGGTTCCACGTGAAGGACAGCTCTTTACCAAACCCTCCTCGGCTCTGGCTGAAATGTCACTCTAGGAAAGGACTCCCCTTGGGCCTCACAGCCCCAGGCCTGCCTCCATGCCCCCATGACATGCGCAGCAGATAGTTTGTTCTCCTGAGGGTGCATTTTCTAGTCCCTTCACCTGTCCCTTGTAGGAAGCTCCCTTCCCATCCGGCTGCATCAGCACATGCCTTCCACCTGCCCTGAAGATGCTGGAAAGCACGAGTGGCACAGCTGGGCTTCTTTTCTGACTCTGTCTCTGCAGCATCTGGAGGTCCAGGCCTGCATGGTGGGGCAGGGGAAAGATGTGGGGAGGGCCACTGAGGTCCTCCTACTTAGAAACCAGCTGGCTTGGGGCCACCATGGGCATGGGCTAGGAGATGGACAAGGCAGGGGGCTGAGGACAGCCGTGAGCTGCAGGAGCCCACCTGCGTCTTTTGCCTGCCTTTTCCTTGTGCTGTCAACCAGATTTTGAGTTTCTTGAAACAGGGACCTTGTCTTATTGTTACTTCCATACCTGGCACACCCTGGTGTTCTGTGAATGGGGAATGAATGACAGAGGAAGGTGCATGCGCCTCCCTCTCTGGGTCTGTGCCTGTGTTCCCACAAGTCTCCCTGTGTTCCTGCTCTTGTGTCATTTCCATCTGGGCCTCCCTCTCTGTGGCCACAAGAATGTCTGCCTCCATCTCTAGGGAAGTCTGTACACTGGAGGGACTTCCTGCAAGTGCCATCCCCCACAGGTCTTGAGGCTTCAGTCCCTCGGGCAGCACCTCCACCATGGGCCCTCCCAGCAGGGGACCCTCGAGAGACATGCCATCCCTGCCATTCACCTTCTGCCCCACAGATGCTCCACCACCCATCGCTCCTGCCACTGTGTGTATGTCATTTACCAGCCTGTACCCCAGCAGTAACTTTCTAGCTGTGCTTCGATGATGGTCGAGGGACTTGGAGCTGTGCTGGGGTAGGGCTCTGCCTCTGCCTCTCCCTTGGAGTGGGGCCAAGAGGCCTGAGCCAGGTCTTCCCCAATTGTGTAAATCAGGATGGGTGAAAGGGTTAAACAGGGACCCTAAGGGCCCGCAGGGTCTGGGTGCTGGAACTTGCCTGCTACGGAGGAGAGTCTGCTAATGAGGCCACTTTCCAGGAAGGCCAGCTCCACGAGGGGCTGCCAGTGCTGAAGCAGATGCTAATGAGGACTGGCTTGGCTTGCGGAACAGGTGCCTAACGAGCTTGACAAGTGGGGACCCAGAGACAGGGCCTAATGGCTCTGGTGGCATTTTAAGGGCAGAGCTCAGAGGGAGTCATAACCAGGAGACTGAGTAATGAGGGTTTCAGGCTGGGGAGGGACCAAGGAGGAGCCTCCTCTGAACTGGAGAGAGGAAGTGCCTGCTGAACAAAGGTTAGCAACTTTGATGCTCTTCTTGGTGTTGGCTGGGGCAGGCCTGGCCTCCCAGCAGGGATCACAGGCCCTTGGTCCCTCCAAGAAGCAAAGGATAGTTAGCATAATGAGCTGGGGGCTGCCTTAGGAAGCAGCGATGAATGGCTGGGACTTGGTGCCAGGCTCTGCAGCATCTGCTCTGATAAGCACTTGCTCACAGCCTCATCTGGCCACAGAACTCTCCAAGTGACCTCTTAGGGCTGAGTCATTAGCAGCTCCTTGTTCCTACAAGAGCCCCCATGATGCTAATGGATGCAGCCATCAAGCTGCCCACTGGGTGTGCAGTAGGACTTGCTAAGACACCCTGAGTTCTGGGTTCTGTCACTTGAGAAAATGAAATCAGGGCGCCCCAACCTCCCCGTCCTCTTGGCAAGAGAAGCAGGGCTCACCCCTAAACTGCAGCACACACCGGCACAGCTGGTGGTGAGAGCTGATGACATGGGTACCCAAAGCCTACTGCAAGTCAGATAACATTCAATTCTTCGTTTTCAGCCAAATTGAAAGGACACTTAACTAAACAGCCAGCTGGTAGGTCATTTTTGGTGATAGATCGCTGTGCAGTTTTGGCCGTACATCTCAGCAGGAGTACACAGAAATGACTGGCAGTGCCAGGTTGTCGGCTGAATTGAAAAGGCTTCTCAGCTCACCACAGACAATTACAAAGTAAAATAATTGATGCTGAGTCCTGGTTTATTCTAGCAATAAATATCCACCTATAGATGCGTTGACTTCCTATCCATTTCATTAAGCTGTGTTTTCGGTAAATTTTTATTTTTAGGTTTAACTAGTTGCTTATAAAAGCTTGAGGTATCTATGTTGTTTTAACCAGTGATTTACTATATTTTATATCAAAAAATAATTATAATTCTACCCAGATGATTTTAAAAACCCTTGAACCTCTGGTCATAGAAAATGAAATATTTTAATTTCAATTCATACATATATTGTGTGGCAGACAAGTGTGACAAAGTGAGCAATGAAACACTCTCAGCCATTAAAGTAGTACATTAGTATAAAATTCTATAGGGCAGCGGAAGGAAGCTACACGTTAAAGGGGAAGGAAGCAGTGGAACATTTCCACAGTTAAAGCAGAGCTGGCCTGACTGAGCAACAAGGTCAGACCCTGTCTCTACAAAAAACACAAAAATTATCTCAGCATGGTGGTGCGTGCCGGTAGTCCCAGCTATTTGGAGGCTGAGTTGGGAAAATCACCTGAGCCCGGGAAGCAGAGGTTGCAGTGAGCTGTGATCTTGCCACTGCACTCTAGCCTGGTAACAGAGTGAGACCCTGTCTCAGTCTCAAAAATAAAATAAAAATAAAGAAGAGCTGAGTCAGGTATTTTTAAAATAGATGAGGGTGGGTGTTAAATCACCGTGGTGTTCAGATTTCATTTGATGTATTTTAAAGTGTCGCAGCTGTTTGATTTAAAAATGTAAATATTTACAAAATGACAGAAATCACATTCTCTGAAGGTATTAAAACTTAAGTAAAAAATATTGTGTCAACTTAAAAATGTGCAAGATGGGATACATGATTTTTCAAAATTTATTTTTGTAGGCGGTACCTAGAGCATTGGTTCCTGTTGAAAGCAATGGCCTGATGTTTCTCCCTCCCTGACTCCTATAGCTCCGCTACAGGGTGCAGGGTTGGAAGCCAAGCCTGGAAGCTGCTCTGATGGTCGTTGCATATGGAGACTGAGGGGCTTTGTCTACCCTTCCCACAAGATTCCAGAGTCTTGGCCTTTGGGACAGGCCCTGGCTTGCTGGGTGAGCTGCACACCTCCTCCAGGCTGAATCAAACTGCCCTTGGTTGGGGGCTAGGGCCAGGTATTAGCCTGGGCGGATTGATAAGGGACAGACCTGCCTGCAGGTGCTTTGACCATAAAGACTCCAAACCTACCAGAGGTCAGAGAGAACTGGTCCTAGGCCAGGGCTTAAGTCCGCTAAGAAAGATGGATGTGGCCCCACAGACCCAGCCACGATCCTTGGCCCACACCACTCTGAGTGATTTGACCTGAGGGGAGGCCGTTTCGAAGAGGCATGATTTATTTCACAGAGAGCGGAGTTGTTTCTGAAAGGGAGGCTGGAGGGCAAAGGGCACTGGGGGATGAGTTTCAATCACTGAAGATATTGTTGGTTTCTGCTATTCCCATCCCACACCTCCCTTCTCCATGCCTCTGCTCCTTGTTTTGCCCTGCACCATACATCTGGTTGACCTAAGAATGTGGCTGCCCTGATGGTATCTTCCTAGATCCCCTAATCTGTGGTCTAGCAGAGAAGGGGTCTCCCAAGAGAGGAAGCCAATCCTGGAAGTCAGCATCACTCATGGAGCCCTAGGGGTGGAGGATGGCTAGGGAGGGGACAGAGGAACAAGGGTGGGGTGTAAGTGAGCCTCTCTAGTTGAGAGACGCTGGGATAGGGCAGCCAAATTGATCCTTTACTCCAGCTGGCATACCCCACCCAACTGCGGGGTACCACTGAGTGTGGAGGCCGAGGGCCGGCACAGAGCCACACCATCACCTGGCAGCTGGCACTGTGAGTAGACCAGGGGAGCCCCGTGTCTGCCACTATGAATAACTCTGTCTGTTGGACAGGCCTTTCTCTGGGCCTCAGTTTCCTCTCTACAGTGAGGCTCTGGCCAGAGAGACCGGGATGAGCAAATGCCTGCAGACATCTGACTGGCTCTTCTCAGGGGGTCCTGGGAATTCCCTCTGCTCCCTCTTGCACTGAGCCTGGCAGCCTCTGCTGGTCCTGTCCCTTGTAGTCCCCCTTGGCTGCCACACCCCCTCTTTCCTGCCATGCTGGAGAGCTGGTCTCTCCCTTCCCATCTCCTGCCCCACCATAGCCTGCCCAACAAGGAGAACCCAGAGGAAAGTGGAGGAGGATGGGGGAGCTGCACAGGTGGGCAACCAAGGGGTCACACAGTGGCCGTCTGCTTGATGCTGTGGAAGCTGATCCGTGTGGGTGACGTGGGGATGGACATGGCCCGGGCCACAGGGACTCGAAGGGAGTGATGGTCCTGCCAGCGGTGCCACCTCTTCCTCATGGCTGAGCGCACCTGTGTGGGAGGCAGAGGCTCAGCCAGCTCCCAGGGACCAACCCTGAGCTTCTGGGACAGTCCCCTCCCCTGATCTCTGCCCTCAAGGGTCAACTGCCACCCTCATGCCAAGGAACTGTCTGCTTCCAAAACTGAAGTCCTGCCCTGACCCTGAGGCCTCTCTCCAGGGGCCCTTTCCTTAGTCTTCTCCTGGAGAGGCGTGACTCCACAGTCCTCCCGGATCATCCAGTGTCCTCTGGACACATTGCCTTCCCTTCCCTGACTCACTCTGCCATTTCAAAATTATCATCTTGGGACCAGAGAGCGTAGCTTGGAGACTTGGCCCCCTTAGCCTTCCCAGGCCCTCACTCCCACAGGGCATTGATAGCGTGTGCCCAGCTCACACACCTGGCGTGCCTCCTCCTCCCTCCTGAAGACAGCCCCCTCTGCAGCTCTCACCTTCCCTACCACCTGCTAGACTCTCCTACCTGACTAACCACAGGGCTTACTGCCTGAAAGGGAAAGCGCTCTGTTGTGATCATTTCTAAACTTAGTTGTACCTGGTGTCATTTTTGCTGCATTTGTTTGGTAACTGAAGAATTTTTCTGGAAATTGGATAATGTTCCTTGCATCCTTGCCTCGTACTTGTTTCAAACAGAGTAAATGCTCCATAAACGTCACTTTTCTTTTTTTTTCTTTTTCTTTTTTTTTTGGCCTTACTGCCTCCCTCTCTTCTCATCCAGCCCACAGGACCTGTATCTGCTCATGGTCTTTCATCCACAGAGTTGCAGGCCTGCATAGACACCTCGCCAGTGCCCTGTGCAGAGACAGGCAAGTGCATTCTTCCGAAGTGTTGGGAAGCTCCCGGGCCCTGGGGCCTGTGTCTGCTCTTTGCTATGTCCTCATCCACCCCAGCCCAGGTACGAATGTGCTCCTCCCGTGTCAGCTGCACTGGGGCTCTGGGCCTCATGGCTGGTGCCAGGCTTCATGGCTGCCTGACTCCCCAGAGCCTGGTCTCAGGGTGTGGGTTATTCTGTGGCAGGTAGGGGGAATGTGCGGGTCTCTCTTCTGCTCCCTGAGTCCATAAAGACCTGATTGCATGGCACATACCTCACCTCTTTCTGGAAGCTTCCTCCTGTCACCACTCGGCTATTCCATGTGGCCTGGGCTCCCCTGCTCACCCAGCTCTCTCAGTGCATGTGTGCTGCACTGCACGGTTGACTTTCTAAACTGGCTCCAGCCCCTGCGGGTTATTCCTGTCCCACTGAGGCCAGGCAGTATCTCAAGCCTTCCCCTCCCTGGCACTCCTGCAAGGCTGGGCAGCACCAATGGAGCCGCCCTGGAGTGGAGTCTGAGGAGCTGGATAGCCCAGGCCACCCCGAGGCCCTGGCCTCATACCTCTCCATTGAAGAAGCAGTAGAAGACAGACACGAAGAAACCCTGGAGAGGAAGGAAAGGAGGGCGTGGTCAGGAGTGAGCTGGCGGGGGAGCTGCTCTGCCTGGAGAGCGGGGGACTGGGGACAGGATGGTCAGGGGAATGCTCTGACCCAGGAAGCCCTGGAGTCAGCTGGGTGGCATTCTAGCCTCAAGGTGCAGATGTCCCAGGGTCTACTCTGAGTGAGCAGTGATCACAGGCCTGGAGCCAGGTAGATTCTGCCCCCACAGAGCCTGCCCAGCAAGGAGAACCCAGAGGAAGAAGGTGGAGGAAGAAGGAGAAGCTGTGAGGTGGGCGACCGAGGGGGTCACATGGCGACCGTCTGCTTGATGCTGTGGAAGCTGATCCATGTGGGTGACCTCAATATTGTGTGACATTATTGAGGGCATTTGGCTGGACTGCTTGCATCCTCAGAACAGGTGCTGGGACAGTAGGTGCAGGCTGGTAGGACCCAGACCCTGGACAGGGGCCAGGCTCAGGCTGAGTGTCCACAGGCTTCTAACTCTGTGGATGTAACTGAGCCACAGCTGTGCCAGTCCCAAGGGGCCATCCTAGTGAGGGCACAGCTGGCAGAGCAGTCTCAGGGAAGTGCACTGTGGGGCCCCCATCTGGTCACGTGCCCTACCTGGAATGACTGCAGGAAGGAGTTGAAATAGATGAACACAACCTGTGACAGGTCATCCTCCCCAGGATTGACGAAGAATAGCATGTAGGTGATGCCCAGGAGGGGCAGGAGCACCAGGGTGGCCTTCACCGCCTTCCTGGGGGTGAGATGTGGACGCAGGTCTGAGCCCACGTGGCAGGCAGGCCTCACCCGGTGGGACCGTGGGAGACACTGGTGGTGTTTCTTCCGGAAGCTTGAGCGAGCTCCCTGGCTGAGGCCTGGGACAGAGGGCTCTGCCAGGAAGCAGGAGGATGGTCCAATGACCTCCTCCCCTCTCCCCTGCGGGGTCAAGGCACCCCCTCACATACCTGTACTGGATTGTCTCGGATGTGGTGGATGCACGTAACTTTGTCATTAGGATCCTGACAATGTTGAACAGAAATACGAAATTGATCTGGAGAGAGGGCAGGCGTGGGAAAGACGGAGAAGGACCATGTGTCTTAGAGGAGCTGAGAGGCAGCCCCTTTCCCCGCAGCCCCTGGAAACCCATGTCCCACGCACATACCTATCGCACCTTTCCCTCCAGCACCTGCCAGCATCCCAAGGCCTCGGCCCCTCCCTTGCCAGGTCAGGGAGACAGCCCTGTTTTCCAGAGCCTGCATCTCTAGCCCAGGCCCAAGGAGGAAAGGCAGCCTCTGTGGGTCATGACCGAGAACACAGGGCATGCCTCCTGAGGCTTAGAAAGCCTTCAACCCTCTCCCCCACACAGGGACCCTACAGAAGCTCTCCTCCCCTCTCTGCCACAGGGTCCCCACTTGTTGACTGAGGGACTCTCTGAGTCCCTTACACTATCTTCAGCTCCAGGTCAGCCTGAGGTCCTTCTGACTGAGGACAGCCCTGCCCTGGTGGGGCAGACAAGGCCAATTGGAGGGATTAATAACTCAGTTGCTGAATGAGTGATTAATCTGCCAGCATCCCACCCTGTGCCCAGGAACTCCAGAGCCTTCACAGGCACCCTAGGCAGGCAGGGAAGATTGATGGGTGGCAAGGCTGGCTCTGAGGGCCCAGGACGGACCTCATTTATCTTCATTCTGAGTCTTCCCTCTGCATCAGAGCTGCCCCACCCAGCTCCTGGCCCTGGAACTGGCCTGTGTGGCTCCTCAGCCACTTCCTGCTGGGTGTGGGTCCCTGTAGGCCTGCGAGTGTCTGTTTGTCTGTGTCAGCTGTGACTGTGACTGTGTTGTCCCCTGGGATCTGTGGTGTGGGTCTGCAGGTCTGTCATTTAAGCACTTGTGCACATGTGTTTGCCTTACAGAACTTGTGCATGCGTGAGCGTGGATCTGGAGCACAGCATGCCTGCATTTCTCTTCATCTGCCTCTGAGCGTAGGCAGGCAGGCAAGGGAGTGTGTGTTGGCCTGACACAGTGGGGCTGTTTCCTGACAAGGCACCCATGGGCCAGAGGGAGATACATGTTAGCCCAGCAGTGTCTGCTGGCTCATGTGTGCACACCCACTCACACACACACACACCCCCCTGAGCCTCTGTCTAGAACATCCATTGCTTCTTACGCTTGGGCTGGGCCCTTCTAACCCTCCCAAGTTCTGAATCCTGGCTGGGAGAGAAGGGCCACAGGACATAGGCAGATATCCTGATACTGTCAACCTGTAGCCTCTGAATGCTCCCCAAGCTTTTGGGTGGCACTGGGGGCAGGGAGAGCTCACACCCCACTGCAGCCAACGCCTGCTGCTCTCTTACCTCACAGTCTTATGGCCTGGGGGGCCCAAGGGAGGGCTGGGGATGGAAAGCCTTTAGTGGGGTTGCCATGACCTGATACCCCACTTAGGGCTCACCTAATTTCCAGCTCCTGGGTTCTGTCATATTCCTCTGGATCATGGGACACAGTCACCTTAACACATAAGTGAATCCTAATTTTCTCATAAAAGTAATACAAAGTATTTGACCTTTTCTGATTCTTCCTGACTTCTCTGAGAGTAGAAACTGTTGGAATCAAAATATATTATCATTTCTGTCACATTTTCTTGAATTCAATATTAATCTTCTACTCATCCATCAACTCACTAATCAATTCAATTATCCACCCACTTTTATTCATCTATCCACTTACCTACCAACAAATTCATCCAATTACCCACCTACTTTTATCCATTCATCCATCTATCCATCATCTATCCATCCATCTATCCATCTACCCACCCATCATTCCATCCATCCATCCATCCACCCATCATTCCATCCATCCATCCATGCATCCATCCATCCATCTACCTAGCAACCAGTTTATTCAATTGTCCACCCACTATTTAACCCATCCATCTATTCAGTCAAGAAGTGCTTACTGAGTACTTCTTGGCTATAGGGCCCTGCTTCTTGTGCTGAGGCAAGGTCAGGGACAGGGTCAAGTGTGGAGCCTCTGGGAGACAAGGCTTTGTCCCCATCCTTACACTAGGCAACATTCGGTGATGTGGCCCCACTCATCTCAGCTTGTGTCTATGTAACCCGAAAATCCCTCTTTCCTTTGAGCCTGTTTCCCAGCCTCGCCCTTCACACCACAAAAGGCACTTCCTCTCTCTTGAGGGAACCTTCTGGTCACCCTGCCCACACTGAGCTCTCTAGCTTTCCATTCTTGGACTCCACCTCCCCCTCCCCGATAAAAACACACTCCATTTCTTTAGTAAGAACTGTCTGTTGTACCCTGCCCTTATTCAGCCTGGTTTCTGGTTTTATTTCATTGTTCATCCATTCAATGAATCAAGTGACCATGTGCCAGGCTCTGAGCCAGGCATCAGCGATGCGGAAGTGGACAGGCAGTCACAGCCCCAGCTTGCAGAGGGCTTGTGGCCTAGCTGGGGGCATGCAGGGATTGGGGGTGGGGGAGATTACATCTTTCCTAAGGTGTCGGAGAGGCCTGGAGAAATGGCAGCTAGGCTAAGAACTGATGAGGCCCACCCCCCAAATGAACTGTAGCACCAAGTCCTAGTCTTATGGCTCAATTTGGACTGTTCCAATTTGCAGTTGTGTGGCCTTAGGCAAGTTGCTTAACCTCGTGAGCTCCTGCTTCCTTGTCAACCCCCAATGGGGCTAACCACAGAGCTTGCCTTAGAAGATCAGCACGGGCTGAAATCCTCACTGAGAGCACTAAGACCTGTGTCTGGACTAGTGACTGCCACATCCCTTTCCCATGACACCAACAGTGACAACACCAGCAGGCAGCCAGGCTTCCTGCAAACTCAACCACCTGATTCACTTCTCAGAACCCAGAAATAAGTGAGTGTCTCTTAGCAGCAGCAATCCAGCTGTGAACTGCTGGGGAGTGTAGGGATGGCATGTATCCAACCTCGAGGACAGCAGGCAGATGGTGGGGACAAAGCGGGAGACCTGCCTTTGAGCCTCAGCTCTGCCAGCTATTAGTGGTGATCTTGGGCAAAACAAATCATCTCTCTTGGCTTCTTCATCTATTAAAATGGAGAGCATTTTATAGATGAACCCTACTTTTTTTAGGACTTGAAGATGCAAGGGTTGGAAATAATGTAGATAGAGCTTCTGGAAGAGCTCAGCTTGGAATCTGGAAGCTCCTGTTGGTGTAAAGAGCTGGGCCCAGGGGAAAGACAAGGAAAGGGCCTGTGAGCACAGAGGCAGGGGTGGAGCCAGAGAAGGGTATGGAAGAGGAAGCAAGGAGCTGGTTCTTGACACTGAGCTCTTGCATTCCTCGTCTCTTTCTCTTGGCATTTCCTCACCACCTCTCCAACATCTTTACAGTTGGGACTCACTCTCTGCCACCATTGGTCCTCCATTGAGGCCAACCTTCCCTGGCTTGGTCCCAGGCTCATCAAAAGCCCTATTCCTCCAGGATGGCTCTTGGAAGCTGGTTGGGAGGGAATGGATCTCATGGGGTTTTTGTTTACACTGAGGGGTGAGTGACTCACTGCAGCTGGGAGTCCAAGGACAACCTTCTACTAGCTGCTGACAAAACCTGGCTTTTTCCTCTGACGTGAACAAGGCCCTGACAGTGGAATTTTCAGCAGTGGGTGAGAAACCTTCCTAGTCATCATCAGGTCACATATATCAAGGACATTCCAAAGATGGAGGTCAAATGAAATCCGAAGTCACCAAAAAAGGAGAGTAAGAAAATGAAAGAGATAAATAATAATTGTTTCCAAGGTAGACAAAAGAAAGCACCACCTGGCACCTTCTGTGTGCAGGAGGAGATGGCACTCTCACTGAGTTTCCCAGAAGGAACTGTGGCCCCTTTAAGCAAGCCAGTACACAGGAGCCTGAAATTACTGAGCCTGAAATAAGTCTTACGTAAATGCCAATTTCTTACGGGTTTTTTTGTATGCCTTTCTTTCTTTCTTTTTTTTTTTTAAGGTATGATATATAATGGGTTTCTTTTGCAGAATGCAGCCTCTACTTAAACTCTCTCTTAATTAAAGTTTGTGGACTAAAGATGTGTGGCAATTATACATCAGATGCAAATGCATTTGGCAAAGGGCGGGGAACTAGACAAGGAACAATTGCTCATTATACTTCATCCTGGTATCCACCGCTCCAGGCATGGGGCGGGGGGCTGGACCTGGAGAGGGTCGCCGGGGGCCGAGGGGAACGCAGATCTGGAATGAACAGAAGCCTGCACACTCTTCTCTTGTCGCTAGCTGCCTGCTCACCTAGCTGTCTTAGCATTGTACAGTGTCAGACTGGGAGGGCACGAGAAGTCAACCTGTCAGATCCTTTCTCCACCCAGAGAAAGAGCCCTGAGGTCACCAGAGGGGTGCAGGGCTGTGCTGGCATTAAGCATGAGGAAGGAAAGGCTGGGTGGCGCAGGGGCACAGGGTGGCATGGATGGGGTATGGGGGCAGCATACAGAGTGGGTGTGCAGGGCTGCCCACACCACATCTTTCCTAGTGTCTCTGCCTGGGTGGGCCCTCTGCTGTCCTTCTGGCACCCAGCCCCATCCCAGCCACCACTGAGGACCTACCAGGAGCACGAGAATGATGGGGCCTTGGTAGATGTAGTCCACCAGGTCGCCGGGCTCCTTGCCAAACCAGCACCTGCAAAGATGGGGTGGCTGTAGGGGGCCTGCTGAGCTGGAGCTAGGGGACTACCCCCCGCCGAGACTTGGGCCCAGAGTCCTCCAGCTTTACACTTCCTGAGACCCAACCTCCAGGACCGCCCCTTTCAGGAAAGCCTTGGCGGAAATACCAGCCCCACTGAGCACCCTCACCCACCAGGCCGTCTTTTGTTTTACATGGTGGGTCTGATCACTCCAGCCAGACTGAGGAGGGGCCGTGGGTCTCTTCCTGTTCCTCTTTCCCGTGTCCCATTGCAGATTGCTAGGCACAGGACTGGGCATGCAGGAGGCACAAGCATAAAGGGAGAGCTGGGCTCCCCGCTGCTGGCCCAGGGCCAACTGCCTTAAGCCACCTGTTCCCATATTGCTTGAAACCCGCTGCTCCTCGAGCCAATGGTTGTGTACCGAGTGAAGGGAGCTGCGGACTAGCTGGCCTCACTGACTGCTAGAGGCTTAGTTCCTTCTCTGGGGATGCTGGACAGGGGAGGGGCTTTAGGGGCTGGGTCTGCCAGCAACTACTGGACCACAGGGAGGGGCCGTCGACTTTGGCCAACTCTGTCCTCTGAAATCTTGGAGGTCATCCAGTACAGACCTGCATCAGACAGGATTTTCCCTGTCTCCCAGAGTTTCTGGTCTCTGCTTGGACCCCTCCTTTGACAGGAAGCCCACTACCTGCCAAGGCAGCCCTCTTCTTCCTGGGCAGCTTTTACTCTTACAAGCGCTTCTTAATGTTGACCTTTTCGAACTCTACCCAGTTCCTGCTCCCATTCTGAGAACAGATCCCATCTGCTCTCTCCAGGCTCTGAGACAGAGCCCTTAGAGGTCTGCACACAGAGACTGACATTCCCCAGGCCCTGCTGCTCTCAGCTGGTGACACCTGACTTCTTGGCTGCTCCTTGGCTGACCCTTGGCCAGAGTTGCTGTCACTTGGGCCGTGGCTCAGCATATCACGGCCTCTGGCATAGGGAGAACTGAGACTTCAGGAAAAAAAAAACAAGCTCTGTGAAATGCCCATGGACTCTAAATGCTCATGGACAGCTCTGGATGTCACATGTGGCCTTGATCCCTTCCACATACCCAGAGCCAGACCTGCCACATTCAAGTCTGAGGAGGTCTTACAAAGACCAAAGGGGTTGTGCGTGGTGGGGCGCACTTCAAGGAACCACGATTCCTAACTTAATCCAACAGAGTTCCCTGAGCCCTACCATGTGAGTGCCTCTGAGTGCAGGGTTCTTTTTTTCAATTTAAGGACAACAGGAAAGTGGATCTATCTAGGTGTGGCTACAGTTCTTACTTCATGGTTTGGCTGGAGCCAAGGCCAATCTGTCTTAACACCCACGCCCCTCTCCATGACCCCCCCATGGCTTGCCCATTCACTTACTGCTCATTCTCATAGTAGAACTTGCCAATGGCCCAGGCGACGATGATGGGGCAGGGGATGCCTGAAAGAAAGACAGACTTGGGCTGCAGGGGACAGATGGACAAGGACCTCCTTGTAGGGCACACCGTGGGGGACCACAGTGGGATAGGATCATGTTTTTACTCTTCCAACAGCAGGCCACCCATGACCCCAGAGGTGCCTTGTCCCTAGATCCCTGGTCCATGCCCCCACCCCTTCTCTCCAAGCAAGGATGTGTGATTGTGATAGGGAAGTAGAGCCAGTCAGTTTCTGAGCCAGAGACAATGGCCTTTGGACAGGTCCTTCCTGGCACGGGGAGAAGAGCTATTTGAGGAATAGCCTTTGGAGGGTCCTTTGCTTTTTCCTCACCACCATGGAAGGAAGTAGCTGTATCTTCAGGACTGTGCTGGGGGTGGAGGGCAGGGCCGGACTCTGGTCCTTGGACCCGAGACAAAGGGAAATGGCCTGGTGAGAAGTCCTCCCCCCAACTAGGCCCTGCTGCCCCCGGGACCCTCACACCATCCGATGAAGAGGAAGAGCCACTTGTGCAGGCGCTCAGTGGAGTAGGTCATGACGATGGCCGTGTGCAGGTAGCAGCCTTCCGCAAACATCCAGAAGAAGTTGGTCACCACGAAGTAGTTGAAGATGGTGGTGATGCAGCGGCACCAGACCTGTTTGCAGGGCAGGGACTGTCAGGAGGCTGCCTGGGGCCCGGGGGACACACACCCATCTCAGGCAGGGCAACAAGACACAGGGCATCCCAAAGGGGGTTGGTGGACATGCCATGAAATACCAGCAAACCTCACTCCAGAAAGCCTCATCCTTCCCCAGTGCTCTTTCACTCTTTCAGATTCAGTTAAGGTGCCACTTTCTGTTGGCGCCAGTGTGTTTTCTTAATTTCTTTCTAACTTTTTCTACTTTTTCTTTCTGGTAAAGAGAATGGGAGTCTGGCTTTGAGCTTTCTGCTGGCAGAGGTTGGAATTCAACCACCTTGTTGTGTTTTCATTTTAATTTTTTTTGAGTCATTCTCAATCCATAGCAAGCCAGACCTGCTTCCATTTAGGGATGGGATATGAAATTTCATTTAGAAAAAAATGAAGAAAAAAGTGAGCAAGGTAAGTCAAGGGTGTATGAAGTGGGGCTGCGGCCAGGGAGGGGATTCTCTGAAGACTGTGGGTTTGGAAGCTTCTGGACTTGGCACAATCATTGCTGGCTCTGGAGGGAGACTTGCAAAGAACAGGGCCCCTGGCAAGTCAGTGCACCTCTCTGAACCTCAAAAAGTAACACTGCAAAGGCAGGCATGAGGGTAGATGTGTTATGGCTGTGGCTCTGTGCCTGCTGTGGCTGTGTGCTACCTTCCCAGCAGATGGGAATTTGTCCCTGTCCCTCTGAGCAAGGCTACCTTCCCAAGCACCTTGCAGGAGGCAGGGAGGGGAAGCCCCTGCCCCTCTAGAGCCACACAGTGTGCTGCAGCAGGGTCAGGGGCCAGGCCTTGGGCTTCCGGGCCAGAGCTTCTCTCAACAGACCCCACCTGGTCATCTTCCCCACAGGCTCATCCCCAGGGCACCCTGAGAGCCAAGGCTGGGACATGGGGAATGATGGAGCCAGCTCAGGGTCCGGGAAGCTGTGTGACAGGGGCTCTGCTTCTATACATGCCCATCCTCTCTGTGTGGCTCTGACAGCCCCGGCTCTCAGATAACCCTCCTGTGCTGAGCTGCTGGCTGCTTCTGGGCTCCCCTGCACAGTCTTTGATCTCTGAGCCTCCTGTGGCTTCTGTCTCCTTTGTTCTGAGAAAGTCCTGCTGAGGTGGGAAGCTACCGAGCCCCTCCTCCCAACCCCACTTTTCCTCCATGATTAATGATATCCTGTTAGTACAAGCTCACGTTGGAGCTGGAAGGCACTTTCAGGTTGATTGAACCTGTTTGGTTCAGAAGCAGGGTTCTATGTGGGGTGATGTTAAAGATCACACCAGGCTGGTGTCTGCTCAGGCACAGGCCACCCAACGGGAATATACTGAGACAACTCTGATGGTGTGCCACAGGGCTCTGTGATGGCCCAAGACTAGACTATAGTTTTACAATGGCTTGGACACAGTACACAGCCATGGACAGAAATCCAGGGTGGACAGCTGGGTTGTGGGATGGCCCCTTATGTAGAGGTATCATCATAGCATGTGACCTTGGCCAGTCACTTCACCTCTGTGAGTCTCAGTTTCTATGTCTATGTGATGTGGAAAATGAAACCTGTTGGTCTCACTGGGATTAAGTGACAGAGAGCTCAGCAGAGGTTAGTTCCAGTCTCTTTTTCTTAAAGGGGTCTTTGAGGGCATGTGAATCCACAAGATGAGTGGACTAGGATAAATGTGTCTGGAGTCAGCTTTGTGAAGCTCCCAGCCTGCCAGCTTCCTGCTCCTCCTAGCCCAGCTCTGGTGGGACAGTGGTTTGGGTGGAGATGAGCTCAGGCCTGGTTTTGCACCTGAGCCACGGCCCATGTGACAGCATTCGGGCCCTGGGTCAGCCAAGGAGCAGCCAGGAAGTCAGGTGTCACCAGCTGAGAGCAGCGGGCACTGGGTAATGTCAGTCTCTGTGTGCACGTCTCCAAGGGGTCTGTCTCAGAGCCTAGAGAGAGCAGATGGGATCTGTTCTCAGAGTAGGGGCAGGAATGGGGTAGAGTTCCAGAAGCTCAACATTAGGAAGCACTTGTAAGAGTAAAAGCTGCCCAAGAAGAAGAGGGGTATCGTGGTAGGTAGTGAGCTTCCTGTCAAAGGAGGGGTCCAAGCAGAGACCAGACAGACAGATGGGTTCCCCTGGAGCCCAGAGCCCCCCAGGTCTAGCCCCGAGTCTCCCCGAAGAGTGACCTCATTGCTCTCGTGTACTTCGTGGTCAATGAGCTGCAGTAGGAACCACATGACATTTCGCAGGATAAAGGTGGTGATGAGGTTCCAATGAATCACATTCCGCAGACAGCGGATACTCCTGTGGGAGGGGCAGGTCAGGGGTCAGTTGGGGTCAGGGGTCAACTGGGACTGGGCTCTCCCTGAGGCCAGGTAGACTCGGCCTGGGCCTCTGAGTCCAGCTCCCACTCTGCACCCCACATGCTTGCTGGCGATCCATGCCCTGATAGCCTTCCGAAACCCCCCTTGATCCACTGGCCCTGTTATCTGCTGGGCCCCGGAATGGAGGTGAGAATGTCTGAAAGAGATGAAGGAGGTGCTGTAGGAGGAGGGACGAGGAGAAAGCAAGGGGGGAGGGTGGACTCACCGCAGGGTCAGGAAAAGCAGGAAGGCGGCCACCAGAGCTGCCACAGATATGCAGTGGCCCAGGTAGTTGACGACAAGGGCAATGCGGTAGTGCAGGTCATACTTCTTCTGCTGGACAGACAGACATGGGCAGGGCAGATGTGGGCATGGGCACGTGGGGGTGGGGCTGAGGACTCTAGCCATGGCCACCTCTGTGTCCTGACCTTGGGGCAGAAGTGCTCCAGCTGTCACTGCTATGCCTGGCACTTAGCGCTCTTTCTTGTTGGCCCTGCGTAGCTCTTGTTGTTATCTTGTTATGAATGGATGTGGTCAGGCCTTCCAACATGCATTTATTTTATTTTCAGTTTTTTAGAGATGGGGTATCACTCTGTTGCCCAGGCTGGGGTCCAGTGGCTATTCACAGGAGCAATTATAGTGTACCACAGCCTTGATCTGCTGGCCTGAAGCAATCTTCCCACCTCAGCCTCTCAAGTAGCTGGTGCCACTGTGGCTGGCACCAACAAGCATTTTTAGGGGCACATTTTGAGATGGGTTCAGATTCTTTTTAAAAATTCTAGACTCTAGAATGCCTTTCCTGGGTTTAGTCTCAGCCCAGATCCCAGCTGGCTGAGCAACTGAGGGTGAGTTGATTGATATCTCTGGGCCTCTGTTTTGATGTCTGTGCAATGAGGCCAACCTGCCATCCTGCCTCAGAAGCAACAGCCTATAGGAGGCCTGGGGTGGGGTGCATTGAGATTAGTCTGCCCTGGAGACCGTATGAGGGGGTGCATTGTCTATAGGGAATTTAGAAATTCTATTCAAATGGGATAAAAGTCAGTTGACTTTAAATTATCACCAAGTGTTGGCAATTTGAAACAAAGTCAGTGATGAAATACTCCTTCCTGCCAGGGAGGGCCACCGCGTGTTGATTCTCCACTGCTGGAGGGGCAGTGAGAGTGGGCGTGAGGACTGACGGCTGGAGGTTGCCCTGCCTGTCGAGTGGCCCCCCTGCAGAACCTCTGTGGCTCACATTTTGCAGAATCACTTTCTCAGGGTAGGTGAATGTTTTTCCTTCTGAATTTGGACTTCATTTGGGACAAAATTCCAGCCTCACTGAGGACTGTGTTGGATAATGAGGATGGGGCTGAGATGTATAATTTCAGGACAGGAATGAGGTGACGCTTCAAGGTGTTCGGTGTCTCAGCAGTACCGAATCGAATTCCAGAGCCAGAGCTAGAGCAGGGCTGGGGAGGCGGAGCATAGCTTCCTGTGGGACAGCCCTCATAGGGCTGCATTTGTTTCCATGTGGCGTCACAGGATCAGAATGCCAGATGGGGAGACTGAGGCCCAGAGGGAGAGGAAGGTGTGCAGTCATACAGCCTCTAAGATGTTGGGAGCATTAATCACATGGTTATTCCCTTTTTGTGTCCCATGCCTCCTTGGCTGTGTCCTCTAGCAGCTCAGGCTTTCTTGAAGGTGGGATTTCATGTCCCCTTTCTGTCTCCCTACAGTGTCACTGAGCACAGGGCAGGACCCTGGGGGCAGGGGCAGGAGGTACAGAAGGGAGTGTCTGGCTGACACAAGGACTGGTCTGCCCGCCTTGGGATCCTCTGTGCTCATCCTGAGTCCCAAACCTGTGTGAGGCCTGGGGTCAAGGCAGGTGAGGGCCACTCACCTTGTCATCCAAAATGGGCTCACACTGTGAGTAGTTGATCTTTGAGGCCCACGTCCCATTCTCCAAACATTCTCGGTAGGCATTCCCTACAAAAAAAATGCCAGCTGCCAAGAGTCAGGTCACTCACCTCCTCAAGAGCCCTCCCTGGCTCACTGGTGCACACAGGATAGGGAAATACAATGTGCATCTGAAAGTTTACATGTAAGTTACTTATGTGAAAATAGCACAAAAGGCTCATCTTACACAATAGCTAAAGGCATGCTAAAACCCATTTTAGATACAATCTTTGACTAGCATTTTGTACACTTTCATTTTGTTCATTTGCTTCAAAACTGAATCCAATGTGAGCACTGGGTTGTGCCCGAAGATTCACAGCTTTCAGCATGCCACATAATTTACATCCTCATCTCAACTGTTTTATATTTCTGAGATCCATACTTCACCAATATCAGCACTTCCATTTTAATAACTACCATTTACATAGCATGTGTTTCTCATGTACCAGGCCCTCTTCTAACTGCTGTGGATACACCTATCCATTCAATCTCCACAACCACTCCATGAAGTAGGCATTAATATGAACCCATTTCAAAAAGGAGGAAACTGAGGCACAAAGAGATTAAGCTACTGGCCAAGGATACAAAGATGACACGAGGATTCAAACCCAGAAGTTCTGGCTTCAGGCCTTCTGTTCTTAACATTTAGGCTACATCAAGTAGTGGCAAACAGGAATGAGGAAATGCTGGGGACTCAGGCTGGACCGCTGCCCTTGGGCTGCTGCTGCCCAGGAGGCCACTGTGTGATGTCTCTATATGTTCAAGAACCAGCCTCTGTATTCAAGTTGGAACAAGATGTGTGAAAAGACATTTCAAGCAGCAATGCCCTGTGTACAAAAGTGCAGATTTTATCAAAGGGGAAGGTAGGAAAGTTGAAAAATGATCATATTTGCCTTTCTCTCTATATCAGCTCTAACTGTCAAGATCTGGCTCCTAAGCCACCCCCTCCATATGCCAGCTCCAACCAGGAGGAAGCCCTCCCACCAGAGAATGCCAGGAGCTCTCCAAGCCTGCCTCTGCTCTGCCTTCACTACTATGTATTTCTGATCTCCCCAGGTGGATTACAAATACTGAATGTTCCATTGTTTGGGGGTGATTCGTACCAGGGTTTAGCTCTCTGACTAATGAGTGGTTGTCTGTGAAATTTTCTTTTTAGCATATGTTAGATATATAATGTAAAGCTAATTAAAATAAATAGCTCACAGAGCACAGAGTGGCAGAGCTGGAGGGGGAATCTTAGGTTGTTTTTGGAGGCAGTGTGTTCTGAAATAATTAAGTTACTTAAAAACCCACTTCCGTTGAGCCCGATGAGTTTGAAGGAATGGAATTAGGAAAGAGCACTTGCCAAAGAGCAAAATCAATGGGGAAGATTCTATTAGCTTAATTGCTTTTTAGTTTGGTGCCTGGAGCTCATCCATTCTTCAAACTCAGGGCTGTGACTGACCTATTCCTTCCTCCTGGGCCAAGGCCCATCCCTGGCAGGGTCCTGCCCTGCCCCTGCCAAGCGAGTCAGGGAATGCCCTGATCTGATGCTGATTCTGACTCCCAGGAAGAGGCACCCTGCTCCCCACCCCTGGCCATGGTGCCCAACTCCCAAGATGGGGTCTGAATTTGATACCTAGGACCATCTTTTCTTACTAACATTCGTGCTCATGAAAGGGAGGGGCTACCTCAACTTGTGGGGGTCACTGAACTAAAAAAGTGAAAGTATTTAAGGAGAGTAAGTTCTTTTGTGAAATGAATGGTCCCTCTCTGATGGGGGTTTACAGTGCCTCTGAACAGTCTGTGTGAGGTGAGGCAGACCATGATCCTGCCTGTGCTTCAAAGGGCAGAAAAATGATCTTCTATGTGTTCATAGATATCATCCAGCTTTCCTGAAGCTCAGTGCTAGGTCTCCTCCTTCAGGAAGTCCTTCTTGATTGCTCCTACCCTATAGCGCATGCTCTCTCTCTCTCCTAAGCACCCCCAGTTCTGGCCGCCTGAGCCCCATACTCCAGCCCTTGCCCCATGACCAGTCCTGAGCTGTCCAGGTGAGTAAATCTGGTCACTCTGATCAGGGTGGGGGCTCCCTGAGGACAAGGCCTCAGAACATTTGTTTCTCAAGTATGATATCTCATGGTGGCACTGACTGTGGGTGGGCTTGCAGGTGAGAAGAGGTCAGGATAGAAATGCTGCAAATCAGAGACCTTTCCTCTCCCTCACACCAATGCCCAGGGGTCCCAAGTTCCATGGATTCTGTCTCCTCTTTTCTTTTTCCAGAGTCCACTCCCCTCCTGTCCATCCCTCCATCTGCTCTCTAGTCTTCTTGCCTGGACTGCCACAATGGCCTCCTATCTCACCTCCCTGCTTCTTCTCTTGCCACCTTGACCATGTTGATTCCTGCTTAAAAGCCATCAATGGCTCTTTGTTGCTGTCAATAAGGAAGTCCAACTTCTTAGCATGATAGTCAAGGCCCTTGACACCCAGGCCCCAGTTTAGCTGTCCTGATCCATCTCCAGCATTCTGCATGGCCATGGGCATTGGTACAAACAGGCTTGGCATGTACCCTCTTTGTGTGGATTCACCTCTTAAAGCATCTCCTCTTTCTTACCCACTGCTTATGAATGAACTCCTACCCATCTTTAATCCCTCACTCAAATGTCATGTCCTGCCTGGAGCCATCCCCAGCACCCTAGGTCTGAAGCAATCCTCTCTTTGTTTCCTCCTCCATCCCTTCCCTTCTCTTGTAACATAGCTTTCCCACTTTATTGCCCTTGAACCACAATAACACATACATTTTATATTATAATCCAGTACACACACACACACACACACACACACAGAGAGAGAGAGAGAGAGAGAGAGAGAGAGAGAGAGAGAGAGAGAGAGAATCCAGTTTCGAAAAGCAAGATATAGCTGGGTCACAGCTGTGCTATTTTCCTTTCCAGTCTATTCTAATGTCTTCTATTCATTTCACACACAAACACTGATCATGACCCATTAAATTGACTCCACAGTCCACTCTTGTATCATAATCCACAGTTTGAAAAACAAAAATTCTGTTTTATTGCATCTGCCATAATTCACTATGAACTTCATCTCTTTGGACCTGATTCTTCTTTTCTTTGCTACTGGACTTGAACTCCTTTGGGACAGACAAGTAAGTAGAGGCCATATTGGAGCCACTAAATCTCCCTCAGGACAGAGCCATTGAGGAAATGTGGGTTGAACAGAATGGACTCAGACCTGCTGACCCTTGGAAAGCAGGTGGGATGTGGAAGTGGGAGGGGAATTCCCTCTCTGGCAGCCCAGCCCTGCCTGCAGATGAGCTTGTGGCTACAGACACTGGGTATCAAAGAACTGGAGGACAGATGTGCCCTGCTCTTTGGGAGAGCTGTCTGCTGTAGCTAATGAGGGTACTGAGCCATCAGGCACAGCCTCAGACAAGAGGGAGTAAAACAGAAAGTATCCCCTTCACCCTCTGGGAACCATAAATGGATGGGCATATATTCTGAGGGCAAATGACAAAGCTAGAATTTCAGGGCTGGGTGCAGAGAGGTGGGTGCTCATTGCTATAGCAACACAGGTGCCCTGCTGAGGATCGATGCTGATGATGTGGAGTGTGGCCTTCCAGGGGATATTAGGGTCTGAATGATGCAGGCAAGGTCTTTTCTTGAAGGATTCTGTAGTCTTGGAGGCCTGATTTCTACATCCAGAGTGACCCAGGCCTGCCAAAAGCCCCCATTACAATGGGCTCTCCCATTTCAGATGCTGACTCTTTGCAAACAGCTCCTAATTTAGGCAGTTATCTGGGGTGGTCCTGAAGCCTGGTTGGGAGATGAGAGCCTATATTCTAGTTGTAGTTTTGTCTCTGGATAGCTAGGTGCCCATGACAAAGTCCCTTCCCCCTTGGTCTCCATTTTGCCTCTTAGAAAAATTATAGTAAATTGATTCTCTATTGATGTTATTGGCATTTCAGGTCGATCAAATATTTTTTATGTGAGACTCTGCAGTCCACTAAATGTCAATTAGCACCCCCAAGCTATTGTGACAACTCCAAGCATCCCTTTCAAACGGTTAGTACTTCTATCTCTGATACTGTCTAGAGAGACATGAGTCATGGGAGACAGGGACCATGAGAGACTATATTTGTTGGTAGTTTGGGGAGAAGGAGCACAAAGGACAGGGGTAGGCATGGGGAAAAGGGTGTGTTGGACTGTGGTGAGGCACAGCAATGGGATCATTGGTTATTTAGAAAGAAAATGATGGGAAGTGAGGGAGAGGCTGGACGTGCTGGCTCACACCTGTAATCCCAACATTTTGGGAGACCAATGCAGGTGAAATTGCTTGAGCCCAGGAATTTGAAACCAGTCTGAGCAACATGATGAAACCCCATCTCTACAAAAAAAAAATTAGCCAGGCATGGTGGTGTGCACCTGTAGTCCAAGCTACTCAGGAGGCTGAGGTGAGAGGATTGCTTGAGCCTGGGAGGCAGAGGTTGCAGTGAGCTGAAATTGTGCCACTGTACTCCAGCCTCAGTGACAGAGTGAGACCCTGCGATGATGATGATGATGATAGAAGAAAGAGGAGGAGGAAAAGGAGAAGGAGAAGGAGAGGAAGTAGTACTAGTAGTACTAGTGGTGAGGAAGAAAAGGTGATGACATATTGGTGGGGAGGGCCAGAAGCAGTATTTACAGAGGGAATGCAGTCACTCCATGGGATCAGAACTTTCAGCACCGCGGACAGCACAGCACCATTCTTCAACTCTGCCTAGCTCTGATATGGGAAACCTTGGAGAGCTCCTAAGAATCGGCCTTCCCACCCGACATTCAGATCTTGGCCCAGCTCAAGGGTATCAACTAATTCATGCCCCTTTTCAAGGCCCAGCTCCAGCCCAGCACCTCCAGGCAGCTTCCATGACTGTTCCAGCTCCCCATGGGTCCAGCTGGTTGTGTCTGCCTGGCTCATTCTGGGCTGGGGTTGCTCTTTCACTGACTCCTGTAAAGGTGTTGTACTTTTTCAACCAGCCCAAAGGCTCTCTGGAGCAGAAG